ATTGGGTGACACTTTTTTTTTCATTTAGCACTTAAAAGACCAGAATGCATGGGGATAATGTATTTATTGTTTCAGATGAAAGTCAGCTGTTAATCTTTTTTTTTTTTTGGTGGGCTTCTTGTACATTATGAGAAGTTTTCCTCTTCCTGCTTTTAGGATTTTTTTTTTGTCTTTGTCTTTCCACAGTTTGATTATGATGTGTCTCATTGTGTTCACCCTACTTGGAGTTTGCTGAGCTTTCAGGATATGTAGATCCATGTTTTACATCAAATTTGGAAGGTTTTTGGCCATTATTTCCTCAAATATATTTCTGCCCCTCTTTCTCTTTCCTCTTCTTCTGGATGGGGCTCCTATCAAGTGTATGTTAGTATGCCTTATGGTGTCCTCAGATCTGTGAGGCTCTTTTTATTTTTCTTTATTCTCTTTTCTTTCTGTTCTTCATCCTGGATACTCTCTATTGACCTATCTTCAAGTTTGTTGATTCCTTCTCCTACCAACTCAAATTTGCTGTTGATCTCCTGTGAATTTTTTATTTTATTTACTGTACTTTTCAACTCCAGAATTACTATTTAAGAAAAATATGTTTAGTCCCTTTATTTATATTATGTTTGGTGATTCATTGTAATCATACTTTCTTTTAATTCTTTAAGCATGGTTTCCTTTAGTTTTCTTTTTTTGTTTGTTTGTTTTATTTATTTATTTCTTTTCCTTTAGTTTTTTGAATACATTTATAATAGCTAGTTTGAAATCCTTATCTGTTAAATTCAACACGTGGGCATCTTTAAAGACAGTTTTTAGTGACTGCTTTTTCCCCCATGTATGGACCACAATTTCCTCTGTGTGTGTGCATGTGTGCATGTGTGTGTGGTTTGTTTCTCTTTTGCATCTCTCATAATTGTTAAAAACTTGACATTATAGATAATATATTTTAGCAACTCTGGATTATGATCCTACCATTCATAGTTATTGTTGTTGCTGTTGTGTTCTGTTTGTTTGTTTGTTTAGGAACTTGTGGGGACAAATTCTGTAGAGTTTATCATCCCATCAGCATGAAGATATTGATGTCTCAGCTCAGTTTTGTTTTGTTGTTGTATTTTTTTTGGTGGCTGGCCGGCACAGGAAACCAAACTTTGACCTCCGTTTTACAAAGCTGTGCTATAACCAATCTGTTCAGTTTTAAAATTCTTTTTACTTTTATGCCTGGCTTCCTTGGGGTCACCTGTGGGTCAGCATAGTCAGCCAATGATTGGTCAGAAGTTGTGGTTATACACCTTGAACCAGTATGGCTTCCACTAAGGGAGTAGATGTGAGTCTTGTCATGCATATTAAGTGCAGGCTATTTAGAAGTCTGTGCTGGCATTCATCTCTGCTTGTACAGGGTATCACATTCATCCAGGGATGAGTCAATAACCAGCTCTCTCTGATATTTTGTTGTCTTGTCATATACACAGCCTTTCACATCCCCAAGAATATGAGGGAGCTTACCAATGCCCACTATTGCCATCTCATTTTCCATATTTCCCTGTTAAATTTTCATCTGCTGCTTACCCAAACAATGTTGCAGCCTCAGGCAGCTGTGATGTTGGCCTTCCCTATTACCTGCTACCAATATTGCTGTTGTTTTTGACAGTACCCCTAGGAATGGAGCTTTTATGGAGCTCCAAGTCAGGTCAGCTCCCTCCAGTTGCAGTAAGGCTTCCATTCCTCCTGGCTACCATGGCCACAGAGCTGGGGATGGGAGCAGCCCCAAATTTAAATGCCACAGACCCCACTATTCTTAATAAGGTTTGGTGGTTTCTCCATTGATAACCGCTTTTCAATGTGACGTATGCCTTTGGTTAATTTCCAGTGTTTTAAAATGCTTGTTTTTGACTTTTTAAAAAAAACAGTTTTACAGTTGCTTTTGGGGGAGGGGATTTGATGAGCTCCTCACTCCGCCATTCCAGAAGTTCCACCTCTGGACAAGTGATTTTTGACAAAAGCCACAATATGGAGAAAGCATAGTATTTTTAGCCAAATGGTGTGGAAACATTTGGGTATCCACATGCAAAACAAAACAAAAAAAGAACTTGGATCCATGCTTCACACCATATACAAAAATGAACTCAAAATGAATCATTGACCTAGATGTAAAACCTAAAACTGTAAAACTTATAGAAGAAAACAGGAAAAAATCATTGTGATCTTTGATTATGCAAAGATTTCTTAGATACATCACCAAAAGTACAACCCACAAAAGAACAAACTGAAAGATTGGACTTCATCAAAATAAGCAGTTCTGTTCTTCAAAAGACACTGTTAAGAGAATAAAAAGACAATACAAAGACTGAGAGAAAACTTTTGCAAGGATAATAGACTCATACCAAGAATATTTAAAGAACTCTTAATGTTCAACAATAAGAAAACAAATAACCCAATTAATAATGGGCAAAAGATTTGAACAGAGACTTCATCAAAGATGCTCATAAAAGATGATCAACATCCTTAATCATTAGGGCAATATAAATTAATATCAGAATATTACTTCATATGTATGAGAATAAGCTATAATTGAAAAAGACTGATAATAACAGGAGTTGGTAAGGATGTGGAGACACTGGAACCCTCATATATTGATGGTGGGAATGTAAAATGGTGCAGCCATATGAGGGACATGCCTGGGTCTTAGGTCTCAGACATCACTGGTCTATCCTGGGGAGATGCTACAATGGTTTGGAGGACAAGGAAATAAAAACTAAGACCACTCTGAGATATCACTATACATGCACCATAATGGCTATAGTAAAAAAGATGGAAAATACCAAGTGTTGGAAAGAATGTGGAACACCTAGAACTCATACTATGTTGGTGGGAGTGTATATTGGTATAGCTACTTTGGAAAGCTGGTTTTGTAAATTTAAGATGAACATATGGATACACTATGGTAGTTCAACTCCTAGGTATATACTGAACAGAAATTCACACATACGTTCACCAATAGATAGCAGCGCTATTCCTAATAGCCTCAAGCTGCAAACAACACAAATGTCTATCAATAATAGAATGGAAAAATATATTGCACCAAATTCACACAATGGAATACAACGTGACAAGGAGAATGAATTATCTACAACTATATGCAACAGTATGGATGAATCTCACATTCATAACATTAATGACAGGATAGACACTAAAGAGTTTATCACTCAATTATATGAAATATAATTGTTTGACTTAATTTATATAAAATGTTTGACTCAGTTTACATAAAATAAAACAGGCAAAACAAATCTATGCTGTTAGAAGTCAGGATAGTGTTCACCCTTGGGTGGGGAATGACCTGGAAGGGGGTGCAGGGAGGGTTTCTAGGGTGCTGGTCATGTTGTTTCTCGATCTGAGTATGTTCAGTCTGTGAGAATGCATTGAGCTGTATGCTTATGATATACACATTTCCCGTATGCATTGTACTGTAATAAAAAAAACCTTTAATGAAATAAAAGACAATTGCATGCTAGAAAGAAAACTTTTTTCTTATGGGTATTGTAAAAAATGTTTAAGGGAAAATGAGGAAGTGTCTATATATCAATGTTTAAAAAAGCAATGCTTTTTCTAGAGAAGTCTTCTGGTCATTCAACTGTAATAAACTATAATTATATCTTAGAATAACTAAGTGCAATGCAATGACTTTATCCCATAGCAACCTACACAAAACTACCCTTAATGTGCATGTAGGAAATGAATACATTTTAACCAAATTGGAAGAAAAACAAAATCTTATGTATTGAAACCCAATTTCTCAATCATTCTTTCCAAACAGGAATCCCAAGGAAAGCAGAGGCATCAGCTAACAAAACTGAAAATCCAGGGTATAATGGCTCAGTTCCACTGTCTTAGGGTCAGTTACTAAGGAGGTGAGGAATCTCTGGTCTTCAGTTTACAGAACTGATAGCTTTGTGGGCATGGGTTAGAGGGCACGCATCCCTTTTATAAGGTGTGAATCACCTGCTGCCCCAGCAGGGAATTAATAAGGGAGTAATTGCCACCTTTAGATGTCTGTAACATTTAATGACTGTATTCCTGTAACATAGGCTAGAGCTGTGCCTAATTTCCAAATTTATAAAGTTAAACTTTTTTTTTTTCCTTTTTGTCTTTTTTACTGACTGGTAACGGGATCGCAACCCTCGGTGTCGCACCCGTACCGGGGACCGGCAACGGGATCGTAACCCTCGGTGTCGCGCCCACACCGTGCTCAACCAGTGAGTGGACCAGTCTCTATATGGGATCCGAACCCTCAGCGGGAGCGCCACAGCGCTCCCAAGCGGTGCACTCTCCAGTGCGCCACCGGGCCGGCCCTATAAAGTTAAACTTTAAGTTTAAAAACTCTGTTTTACTTTTAAAAACATATACCATGGTGACTTCCCAAAGGGAAGAGAAAGAACTGTTAGTTCTTCATGGGAATCTTTACCGTGTCTTATATGTCAATTATCACAAAAAACTTCTGGCTTCTGTGCTTAGATCTGCATTTCCAAATAGGTTTTATGCCTTGACTTCAGTGCCCTGAAAGTGTTTGGACAATGAAAACTCTTTTCCCCACCCTAGAAATTTGAAAAAATTTTGGCCAGTATTGAGCACTTTTATATCCCAAGGTATGAAGAAGTAATCAATACTGATTGTATAAAGTCCTTTATCCAAAAGGTGAAAGTCATCTCCTCAGGTGTTTATTTCTACTTGCAGGAGCTCGAGAGCCCCTGTATCAATTGGGTAACTAAATATGGCTATTGCACAAATGCTTTATCTGAAAGGTCTCCCAATGCATATAATTGCACAGCAATCGTGGTGATGTAGGAACTTGTATTTCCAGTTGACTGAAGGATGCTTGGCTTTGTTTACCTTCTGTTCACTCAAGCCATAGTTTCTCATATCTCTTCCCCCTGCACAATGATTGCAGCATTGGGTGTTCCTCTTCCTCCCTGTGGATATCTGATATCTGACCCAGTTGTGATGTCCAGATGAAGCCTTTTTCAGTCACTAGCTTTATAGCGTTTTTCTCCACTATGAGTTTTCTGGTGTTTAATGAGATTCGATCTGTCAGTGAAGGCCTTCTGACATTCTGTACAAGCATAAGGTTTCTTTCCTGTATGAATTATCTGATGCATACTTAGTGTTGCTTTCTGGATAAAAGCTTTCCCACATTTACTGCATTCATAGTGTCTCTCTCCAGTATGAGATTTCTGATGTATATTGAGGCGTGACTTCCAGGTGAAGGTTTTTCCACAGTCACTGCATTTATAGGGTTTCTCCCTAGTATGGATTTTCTGGTGTGTTATGAGATTTGAGCGGTCAGTGAAGGCCTTTCCACATTCAGCACATATATTGGGCTTCTCGCCTGTGTGAATTTTCTGATGGACACGGAGTTGTGACTTCTTAGTGAAGCATTTCCCACAGTCACTGCATTCATAAGGCTTCTCTCCAGTATGAATTCTATGGTGTGCAATGAAGTGTGATTTCTGGATGAAGGCCTTCCCACATTCAGGACAAACATAGGGTTTCTCTCCTGTATGGATTCTCTGATGCACACTTAGTGTTGATTTCTGGATAAAGGCCTTCCCACATTCCTTGCATTCATAGTGTCTCTCTCCAATATGAGACTTCTGATGTATTTTGAGGCGTGACTTCCATATGAAGGCTTTTCCACAGCCATTGCACTTATAGGGTTTCTCTCCAGTATGAGTTTTCTGGTGTTTAATGAGATTTGACTGATCAGTAAAAGCCTTCCCACACTCAGCACACATATAGGGTTTCTCTCCAGTATGAGTTTTTTGATGTGTAGTGAGATTTGTCCTGTGAGTGAAGACCTTTCCACATTCTGTACATATATAGGGTTTCTCGCCTGTGTGAATTCTCTGATGCACGTGGAGTTGTGATTTCTTAGTGAATGATTTCCCACAGTCACTGCATTCATACGGTTTTTCTCCAGTATGAATTCTCTGATGTGTATTGAAGTGTGACTTCTGGATGAAGGCCTTCCCACATTCAGTGCATACGTAAGGTTTCTCTCCTGTGTGAATTCTCTGGTGCATCCTGAGTGCTGATTTTCTTGTGAAAGCTTTCCCACATTCATTGCATTCATAGTGTTTTTCTCCAGTATGAGTTTTCTGATGTATACTTAGGTCTGAATTCTGGGAGAAGCCTTTTCCACATTCACTGCATTCATAAGGTTTTTCTCCTGTGTGAATTCTCAGATGTCTAAAGAGATCTGATCTCTGGAAAAAGGCTTTTCCACATTCACTACATTTATAGGGTTTCTGCCCAGTGTGAATTTTCTGATGTGTGATGAGGTTTGACCTGAGGGTAAAGGCCTTCCCACATTGAGTACATAAATAGGGTTTCTCTCCTGTGTAAACACTCTGATGTACATCAATTTGTTGCTTCTGAGTGAAGACTTTCTTATTTTTGTCACATTCATGGGATTTTTCTCCATCATGAATTCTCTGCTGCTCAAAGAGATGTGACTTCTGGGTAAAGCCCTTCACATACTTAGTACATACGTAAAGTTTCTCCCCAGTATGAATTTTTTGATGGTGTATGACAGTTTGTTTGTGGCCAAGATGTTTTTCACATTGATTATGTTCACAGGAATTTGCTCCTGTATTAGAATTCTCATTCTTAGCAGAGGAAGAGGTATGGGTAAAATTGTTACCATTTCCACAAATCTTATCAAAGTTCTTTGTTGCACTGTTTCTATTATGATTATGTAAGTTTGAAGTATGCTTCAAACTCTTTCCAAATGTGTCACAGTTATGGAGTCTTTTAATTGAAGGAACAAGCTTGGTAGTCACATTAATTATTTTTTCAATGTTTTTACATTCATAGTCCCTCTCTTTAATCAATACTTTCACTTGACTTAAAGGGTTATTCTGGTTTTCCTGATATCTCTCTAGCTGGTCATTATCTTGCCACAGTTTTTCTAAAACAGGACATAGTGAGTCTTCTATGGGTTGATCAAATCTCTCACAGGAAAAGGAAACGTCTCTAGAAATTCCATGTTGTTGAGTTTCCCCAATATTGTCATCTAAAAAGGAAAAGAAAAATGACATAAAGAACAATTAGCAGTGGATATAAGGTATGTGTAATTCAGACAAGATGAACCCAGAGAAATGGAAGAGTCCACTTGTCGATAATAATGCCAATAATGTAGTAATACAAAATTATCACAGAATACTTACTAGAGGCAAAGCAATTATATACCGTGTAAGATTTGTCAGGTACTGCTCCAAGTGCTTTATACACAATAGCTCATTTAATCCCCACTAAACCTTGTGAGGTAACTACCATTATCGATTGTTTTACAACTGAGAAAACAGGGGCATACAGAAATTATGTAACTTGTTAGATATCAAATAGCTAAATAAGTGAGAGAAATGGGATTTGAATCCTGAGAATCCAGCTCCACTATGTAGGAATAGTGAATAGAGTAACGAGAAGACACTGAAACCTGTTAAGGGGAAGCCTGGCATGGAAGACATATTTCAAAATGTATGTGCTTATTACATATCAGCTCTAAGACCTTACTAACCTCTCTGCTTTCTCTTGCTTCTCCCTCTGAACCATTATGAGCATCAACATTAAACTTATATGCCTCAAACACCAATTCCTTTATATCTATAGGAAAACTTGCAACATTGCCATCCTGTTTTAGACAAACAGTAAATAGACATCTGTGCTCCAACTCTTAAGCAGCTGCAAGTTTCTTTTGGTCCCAGGAATACACGCTTTTGACAAGAAGTGTAAAATAGGGAGGGAAAGCCATGTGTGGCAGAAACTGCCCTTCTTTCATAGTGATAGGATGTGGTGGGGGCCTCACATTCACCAGTCTCAGTTTGTTTTCACCACTGGAATATGAGCAGAAGTGATATGTGCTGCTTCCAGGCAGGCCTGAAGACAGTGGGCAAATCTCCGCTACTCCCTCTTCCCCTTCCCACTGGACTCCACAGTGACCCATCAACTGTGCAGTTGACAAAAATGTCCTAGGAGATGGCAGAGCAATGACTTGGAATGTGGTCCCTGAATGACCTGTCAGGATCAGAAATGACTTGTTAAATTGGACCCATTCACCTCAGAATTCTTATATAATTCTTATATATACATCTACATTTAGCTTGTTGTGCCCCTCTGTGCATATTCAAAATGTGTTGTCCTTCTAATATCAGCTCTAATTTCAGTACACCTCTAGAAAGGTTATATTTGCTACAAATTTATAAAGCAGACACTGTACCACTCATATTGATACTCAACTTGGCACACCTTTATGTTATAACAGAAAGAACTAATACACAAAGGCTGTCAGTGTTAACATTTCATGCAACTCAGTTGTCTTCCCTTTCCAAATATAATGCATGATCCTTTGAATTCCTCTGAGCAGATGCTTGAAGAATCCTGAATGAGAATAAAACATCCTCCTCTGCCTATCTCCCCAAATTCAATAAATTTAAATTCATTATATATTTTCTACATGCTTCACCTCAGAAAACTGAAGAATAAGTGTTCCACTTATCAGTTTATTGCCTCTCAACTCCAAATTCACCCTTCCTTGCCTGCTCTACAAAAATGGACCTGGGTCTCTTTAAATATTTTTTTCCTTTGCCGGGCATGATGTTAAGCTCTGCCAGTACAGAGCACTGGAGAGACACTGCAGGAGGAGGGGGCTTTGCTTCCAGGTTTTAGGGGGCTCACTCAGCAGGCTCTTCCAGCAAGGGCAGCTTGTCTAGCACCAGGCTCCTGTAGAGCCAGTGGCTTCACCAACATCTGGCTCCTGACACGCATGCAGCATCCTCAGCACCCAGGTCTTGTGGTGTGGGTGACTTCTGCAGCACCTGCTCCTGCAGCTCATAGGGCTGCCCAAGCACCCAGCTGGGGCAGCACACTTAGTAGCTTCTCCAGCTCCAGGGTCCTGCAGCACATTGCAGCAGCAGCACCCAGCACCCAACAGCTTACTCTGACACACCTCTGGATGATTTGTAGTGGAATACTTCTAGCGAGACACCTCTCATGAACAGTGATAAGAGTTTGGATGTGTTGTCCCTACCAAAACTCATCTGGAAATCTGATCCCCAATGTGGCAGGGCTGGAACTGTTTGAGTCACGGGGGTGGGTCCCTCATGAATGCATTAATGCTCTCCCTGGGGGAGGAGGGTTAGTGAGTGAAATCTCACTCTATTGGTTCCTGTGAGAGCTGGTTGTTTAAAGACCCTGGCACCTTCCCTCTTTCTCTCTCTTGCTTCCTCTCGCCATGTGATCTGCTTGTACCTGCTGGCTGTCTGCTGCTTTCCACCATGAGCAGAAGCAGCCTGAGTCCTGTGCCAGATGCAGCTGTCCCAGAATTGTGAGCCAAATAAACCTCTTTTCCTTATAAATTACCCAGTCTCAGATATTTCTGTTATAATAACACAAATGGACTAATACAGAAAATTGGTACTGAAGAGTGGAGTGTTGCTATACAGATACCTGAAAATGTGGATGCAGCTTTGGAACTGGGTGTTAGGCAAGGTTGGAGGAGTTTGGAGGACTTAGGAGAAGACAAAAAGATGAGAGAACATTTGGAACATTTTAGAGTTAAATGGTTAAATCGTTGTGACCAGAATGTTGATAGAAATGTGGACAGTAAAGAGGATGAGGTCTCAGATAGAAATAAGGAACTTATCGGGAATTGGACAAAAGATCACCCTTGGTTCACCATAGCAAGGAATTTGGCTGCATTGTGTCCATGCCCTTGGACTTTGTGGAAGGTGAGACTTAAGAGTTGTGAGCCAAAATGTTTGGTGGAAGAAATTTCTAAGGAGCAAAGCAGTAAGGAAGCTGCATGGTTACTTTTAACAGCCTACTCTGAGTTATGTAGCAAAGGCATGATGTAAAGCCAGAATTTAAAAGGGAAGCAGAGGGTAAAGATTTGGAAAATTTGCAGCCTGGCCATGTGGTAGAGAAGCAGACAGCAAAAGAATAATGCAAGCGTGAAGCAGATAAACTGGTTACTAAAGACATTAGCTTGGTGGTGAGGCAGCCAGATGCTAATAGCCGGGACAATGGGAAAAAAGCCCTAAAGGCATTTGAAAAGTCTGGAAGGGTTCCCCACCCATCACAGACCCTGAGGCCTAGAAGGACCGAATTGTCCCAGAGGACAGATCTGGGGCACAGCTGCCATTGGGAACCTGCTCCCTGCATCCCAGCTGCTCTGGCTGGAGCAGCCCTGCCTCAAGCAGCCCCAAGTGTGGCTCATGCAGCAGCTCTGGGGAGTAGAAGCCTGAAACCTCAGTGGCATCCACATAGTGTTAAGTCTGCAGGCCGGCAGGATGTGAGAACAGTGGAGGCATGGCAGCCTCCACCCAGATTCCAGAGGATGTATGGAAAAGCCTGGGGTCCAGGCAGAGACCTGCTGCAGGGGTGGAGCCACTGCAGAGGTCATTTACTAGAGCAATGCCAAGCAGGAAAGTGGGGTCAGAGCCCCCACAGACAGCCCCCATCAGGGAAATGTCTAGTAGAGCCAAGGCAGCAGGGCTGCCGTCAGGACCCCGGATCTGTAAGGCCACTGGCAACGTGCAACACCAGCCTGGAAAAGCCACAGGCAACAGTGCAGCCCACTGGGTTGCACCTGGCAGAGCTGTGGGAGTGAGGCTGCCTGATGCTTTGGGCACCCAGATGCCCCATTGTGCCCAGGATGCACGATTTGGAATCAAAGAAGACTATTTTGGAGTTTTAAGACATAATGTCTGCCCTGCTGGGTTTCAGACTTGTTTGGGGCCTATTCCTCCCTTTTGGAATGGGAATGTGTACCCAATGTCTGTTCTACCATTGTATCTTGGAAGTAGATAAATTTGTTTTTGATTTTTACAGGTTCACAGCTGGAAGGAGTTTTGCTTTTGGTCTCAGATGAGACTTTGGACTCTGGACTTTTAAGTTGGTGCTGGAACAAGCTAAGAATTTTGGGACTTTTGAGATGGAATGATTGTATTTTGTATGTGAGAGTGACATGAGTTTTGGGGGTCCATGGGCAGAATGATAGAGTTTGGATGTGTTGTCCCTGCCGAAAACTCATGTGGAAATCTGATCCCCAATGTGGCAGGGCTGGAAGCTGTTTGAGTCATGGGGGTGGATCCCTCATGAATGGATTAATGTTCTCCCTGGGGGAGGAGGGTTAGTGAGTGAAATCTCACTCTATTGGTTCCTGTGAGAGCTGGTTGTTTATAGGACCCTGGCACCTTCCCTCTTTCTCTCTCTTGCTTCCTCTCACCACGTGATCTGCTTGTACCTGCCGGCTGTCTGCTGCTTTCCACCATGAGTAGAAGCAGCCTGAGGCCCGTGCCAGATGCAGCTGTCCCAGAATCGTGAGCCAAATAAACCTCTTTTCCTTATAAATTTCCTAGTCTCAGGTATTTTGCTATAGTAACACAAGCGGACTAATACAAACAGTTTTCTCTGGAACCCGAGAGAGCAGATTTCCAGCAAGTTCCGCCAGCGTGGCACCATAGCAAATCTTCTGCCATGCCATGAGCCACAGCTGTGCCCTCCTAATGCGGTCTGGATCTCATCCCTGGGAAGTAGGGGAGCCTCTTCCTTGGGCACAGCATTAGCGAATCGGCTGTGCCTTATACTCATATCTGGTGTTCCTTTATTTTTCAGAGTTGTTTTTACTTTTTAGTAGCTAACCCTCATTACTCCAATCTTACTAATAATCTTTATCTTAAACTTTCCCTGTTCAAATTAATGTGTGGTTTCTCACTCCTGATTAGACACTGAGTTATACAATAAGAAACAGGATCTTAGTATGCATTAACTTCAAAACATCATGTTGTATATGATAAATAATACAATTTTTGTCAATTTAAAAAATTAATTAAAAAGAAACAGGCTTTTAAAGCTGGAGACTTTCTAAAACCATAGTGGTAATAGCCTCAGTTACCTCACACCCTAAAATCCTGTGCTTTTTTTCTGAGCTCCTGTGGGACAGAGGATGAGAAAAAGGAAAGAGCCATGTCTGCTGGAGTAATTAAGAGTGTATCATCTGAATAGATAGAGCCCAGAATAAAGAGTCAGATTCAGGGAAGATTATCCAATATGGTAGACATTAAGAAAATATTAAAAATAGAGTTGAAAGGCCAGCTCACTTGGGAGAGTGTGGTGCTGAGAACACCAAGGCCACAGGTTCGGATCCCTATATAGGGATGGACGGTTAGCTTACTTGGGAGAGCGTGGTGCTGACAACACCAAGTCAAGGGTTAAGATCCCCTTACCGGTCATCTTTAAAAATAGAAAAAGAAAAATGAAGTTGAGCAGAGTTTATGGAAATGAAGTTTATGGAAAATATGCAAATACAAGTTTGAACTGGAAATATGTGACCATGTAGTTTATCTCTCTGAAAGAACAGCTTAATTGTCACAGACTAGGAAATGGGAAGCAATCATAGGTTTGTTTCATAAAGCTCATGACAAGATAAACAGAATGTTTTAGGTAATAAAATCTGTCATTAGCATTTAAAATGAACTAGTAACAAGAGTGGAATCAGCAAATCTAATCAGGAATATAATAATCACAATTCAGGCAGAAGAAAACCTGATGCTGATTTTGGGTGATCACACTGGGAACTGAGAAGATGAACTAACTGAGAGAAGAACTGAGAACAGAAAATAAGATCTGCAAAAATGGAAAAGCAGTAGGTACTACAGATTAGTTAAAAAAATGGCTGAGAGGAAATATTTAAGAAGCACTGGCAGAATATGAAAGAATCTGGAAGGTGAGAAGGGTTTCTGACATGTGAGGTGATTATTATGATTTCCGATATACTGGGAATCAAGAGAAACATCTCATAAGAACTACCTGGGTAGCTAAACATAGAACTAAATCTCCAGTAAAAGAGAGAGACTGGGAACATCAAAAGAGTAGGCATCAGAATTTCTGTATGGCTGCATCATTGCATGGACATGAAGAAAAGATTGGTGAATAGGAGACAGGGTCCCCAGAGGAACCTCATTTGTGGGGAAAATGAGGTGGGGAAGGCTGGGAAAAAAAAGCAAATAATAAATTGGATGCAAATCAGTAAACACAAGTTGAAGAAGCTTAACTGAAACAAGGAAAATGTTCTGAACAAGGAAAATGTTTTGAACAAGGTAATTCATAGGAGGGAAACTCAGAAAGATAATAGGTAATTCATGAAATACTCAAGCTAGGTATTAGAGAAATGCAAAATAAAAAATGAGATACCACTTTATACCCATTGTTGGCCAAAAAAATGGGAAACTTTGGTACTACTAATTGTTGGCAGAAACTCTGGAAAAGTAAGAACCCTTTGCACTGTTGCTGGGAGTATAGATTAGTGCAGCCAATCTGAGAATAGTATGGTGGTACTCAGTCGAATTCAGCATGACAGTACTCAATGATTAGGCAAATCCTGTCTTCTCCACATACCCCTGAGAAACTCTCACACCCTATAAGGAAACATTTATATAGAAATTTATTGCAAAGTTGTTTGTATTTGCTGGGAGTTAGACAGAACCCTCGGTGTCCATGACTGGGTGAACAGTTGAGTAAGATGCGGTGCTGGCCCACTGTGAAATGCTGGGCAGTGACTTGAAGAACAAAACCAGATGAACACACTGCAATATGCACAGACCTTAGGGACAAGTGAGAAAAAGGAACAGAATTAAGACACACAGCATGATATGGTTTATATATACTAAAAATACATGCTCATAAACTAATACTTCAGGCTTTAAGAGAATACCACACAAGTTCAAAGATCACACTAGACCAGTTGCCCATGGAGGAGGCATAAGGAATAGATATGGGGAATTGGAATGAAGGGAAGAAATTTTAAAACACATGATTGTACAAGGAAAGAATCTAAGATTGGGGGTGGAGGTGGAGTAGGAAAACTAAAAAGGTCCTAGATAAGATAGGGTGGTATGTGACCTAGAGTATAAAGATTAGAGACAGCTCTCTTGCCAGCCAAGCAAAGAAGAAGACAATAGATGTGGCAAGGGTCATACTGGGAGATGGCATCTACGTATCTGAGGGCTACTGTAAGCTATCACCAATCAACTGCAAAAGTTTAGAACTTTCAAGATGTTATCTTCAGAACCTTTCAAAGGCATCAGCCTCTCCAAGAAAAAGTGAGATTTACTTCCATGTCCCTCATCTGCCTGGGTCCCACTCACTCACCTGGACAGCTCTGATGTGGGGCCTCTCCCTCCAACATCCATGGCCCCTGTCCTTGCTCCAATTTGAAGATGGCCTCTGGTTTGGGGATTTGGTAGCCTGTTAACAGGACATGATACAGGATTGGGTCCAGCTGACTGGGTTTCAAGGGCCTTTCAATGCTCTTCAGAAAGGTACCCAAGTTTCAAAAAGGGGCTGAAGAATCCCAGACAAATAAGGATGACATCATCACACACTTCAGATGTCTCAGAGCACTCAGCAGCTGAGAATGGAAATGCTCTCATCGAGGCCCCTGGCAGATGCATGGGGCGGCTGTGCTTACCCACGGAGAGCAGGTGGCTATAGTTCTCCAGTGTCACATCCCTGTACAGGCGTCTCTGAGCAGCATCCAAGTGCTGCCACTCCTCCCTGCTGAAGTCCACAGTCACATCCTTGAATGACACCAGTACCTGTAAGGACACAATCCTGTTCAAGGCAACATGATCAGCACTGGGGGATGGAAGGAGATAGATAGGAAGTTGGTTTTAATTCTTTTTACCATAATGTATCATATAGAGTTTTCACTAAATACCTAGTTTTGTATTTTATTTTGTAAGAGGAAAGAATTTATTAAAGTATCTTGACACTCATTGTGTGCCACTTTCATTCATTTATTCATTCAGTCATTCTTTTTTCAAAAATGAGGATTTAAATGGGCTTTTTTCAAGTCCTCTAGTTAACTTAGGAACTAGATACAATGAATTTACCAATCGATTATGTGCTAGATGTTGTCCTAGGCAATGACAGTATAGAATTGAATAAAATATAAAACTTAAGGACTTGGATAACCAACATAGGAAGATACAAAGGGGACTAAAGCATCTGGAAGAAAAGGATGGGAAGTATAAGGTTAGGTTACATAGAGATAGTGGGGTAAGAATTATCTAGAAGGGGGAAGCATGAACAAAAGTGTGGAGGAAGGAAAAAAGAAAAATACATGGTGGATTCAGAGAATTACAAATAATTCTATATAAAGGAGAGGAGTCTGTGTAGTATATTGAGAAGGCGGTTATGAGGAAAATTCAGAGATATATTGGGGTCAGAACAAGGAACAAGTCTTTTTTGTCCTAGTAGAGAATGGGCTGCGATTTATATGCAGGAAAAGACCTGATCATAATTGTGTGCTTTAAAACAGTATTCAGATGCATTAGGGGGAATGTTTGAAATGGGAAGACCAGAAGACCAGTCTGGAGATGCACTGCAGAGTTGGTGTGAGAGAATGAGAAAATCTAGACTTAACGTGCTTGTTGTAATGGGGATGTAGAGGAAGGTGTTGATGCCATGTTTTAAGGAGGTAGTACTGGGGGGAGGGTGTGTGTGAGAAAAATAAAGAATTCTCAGTTATTGGTTTTCTACAACCATGTTAGACTGTGATGCTATGTGCTGAGAGAGGGGCTGGGAGAGTAGGAGGCGGTGGGGAAGAGGATGAAACAGGATGTCCTTCAGTGCTTTAGCTCAGCAAATCGGGTTGGCCCAGGGTATAAAACCCAGGGCAGGTTGTTTTCCATGGTCCTTCAGCTGCAGGACAAATGGGGCATGCGCAGATGAGACTCCATCCACCCCAGCAGTTTTCCTGAGCCGTGGGGGACCAGCTCACAATCTTAGGCTTCTGTTGTCCCTTGCTGCCTATCTGTAAATAAGAAACCTGCTCCATGTGACTTGTGTGTGTGGGGGGGGGTTCTGTCTCACTGGACTCAGACAAGCTGGTAGCCAGTGACCAGTGAACCTGCTTTGTCTGCTGCTCCCTGTCCCTCTGACAATTCTCTGTTCCCTGGGGCCCTGCAACTGCTTCTCCCACACTCTGGCTTTCCCTGTGTCCTCTGGCTGCTCCCTGGCCGCTGTTTTCTTCGTCCCCAGACTTCTCCCTGCTCCCTCTGCAGGTTCTTGTTCCCTTCAAGTGTTTGCCATCTGACTATTTCTTGTTCTCTGACTCTTCCTTGGTCCCTCTGCCTACTGTTCCCTCTACACGTTTCTTGTTCCTTCTGAGTGCCCTTGTTCTTATTTATTCCTTCCTTTGATTGTTTCTCTAGCTGTTCATCCCTCCTGTTTCCTGTTCTGCTGTCCTGTGTTCCCTTAGATAGTTGTCCCTCCAGCCTATCCTTGTTCTGTGGCACCATTCTTCTGATGGTGCCCTGTCCTGACTGTTTCCTGGTCCCTAAGAGCCCTTCTTGTTTCTTCCAGCTGCTCCTAGTTCACTTAGACTGGCTGCTGTTGGACTCCTCGGACTATTCTCTGGTCTCCTGATTCTTCCCTGTACCTTGGACAGTCCCTTGAGTACATTTCTAATGTGCTCTCCCTTGATATTCGTGCATCTGCCCCCAGCCCATACTCTTAACCTCTAGAGGGCAGTGCTTCTGTGTTCTGTGCCACGTCTGGATTCTGTACTCCCATCGTCTCCATTACTCATATTCCATCTGACTACTGGCTGGTTCCACTAGTTGTTTCCTGGGTAGGGTAACAACCATCCCAGTTTGCCCAGAAATTTCCCTATTTTAGCACCGAAAGTCCCATGTCCCCTCAGTCACTGGCAAACCAAGATGGTTGGTCATCCTACTCCTGGGAACTCTGGCTGTACCCAACCTCTCCCTGGATTCTTCAACTGTGCCCTAACCCCAGTGACCACTGCCTGGGACCTCTGGCTGTTAACTTGCTTCAGTCATTTATACTATCCCTTCTGATTCTTCTCTAGGCTTTCTAGCTGTTCCCTGGTCAATCAGGCTGCCACCCCACACAAGGCACACATTGAGCACTCATGTTGCCTGTCCCCTAGTTCCTCTGGTTATTTCCTGGGACCTCTGGTTGACACCCAGCCCCATGCACATTTTCGCTGCTCCTTCTAGCTGTTCCCCAACCTCAGTGACTGTTCTTTGCACCATGTGTTCCCTGCTAACCTAGGCCTTTCCTCAGCCATAGAGGCTCTTCTCGCACCTCTCCAACTGTTTCACAATTTCTATTCCTTCCCTGATCCCTCCACCTGTTCTACAGCCTCAGCAACTGTCTCCTGGTCCCTCTGGTTGGTACCCATTCTCAGGGTCACGTTTCCCATCTCCTCCATTTCTTGTGCCTTATACCTCTGCCTTTTCCCTATGCCCTCAAATTCTCCTCTAAACCAAGGAACTGCTCCCTGGCTCGTCTGGAAGTTGCTTGTCCCTCAGGCTCATACCCACCTCCTTGAATGTTTTCGCTTTTTCCATTTTATCTGATGCTTCTGTTTCCTCATCCCTCTGGATGGTCCCTGCTCCTGGCTTCTGTCTGGTTCTTCTATTTCCTGGTCCCTCTTATTTCATGATCTTTCCGATTGTTCTTTAACCCTCTGGCTCTTCCCCGATCCCCAATGATCACCATTTCTCCAGCCTCTCTGGCTGCCACCCAGTGTCTGACATGTTTCCTCTGTTTGTCCCACTGTGCCTCCACCTGCTCCCAGGACCCCTTGGCTGTTCTCCATCTCCAGTAAGTACATCATGGCCCTCCAGCTGTCCCCTCGGTCTTCTTTCTCTTACTGACTCCTCTGCTTGTTATCCAGCTCTAGCTACTATTTCTCGCTCCAGCTGGCTGCTCCGCAACCCCTGGGGACATTTTTCACTGTTTTCTTGGTATCTCTTCCTACACCCTGCTCCCTGACATCTAATGAAAAAACCAAGAACCTAAGAAATAAGTGAATAACTAATATTCACCAGAGTCTTGGCCATTTCCATCTCTTCTTGGGAAGGGCCAGAGATCTGTGGCTGGGAAGGAAGAGATGAATGGAGAAATGTGCCTTGCAGAGCCCAGAATCATTAATCTGGAATCCTCACACATCAGCTGGGCAAGAGGCCATCTCCAGGACTGGGGATGACCACACTGTTGTGGCCCCAACCCGTGGGTCTGTGACTGATACGATGAGCAGAGTTTAGACAAGGCAGAAGTGTACTATCATCAAGCATTGATTCATTTATCCTTTAGTGCCCCTATACCTTTGATTCAAAAATATAATTTCAATGGCTTGGGCAAAAAGATTTAAATGTAGGAATTTTACTATAGCAGTTTTAATCACAATAGAAAACCTGAAACACTCTCAGTACACAATAGTGGACTGGTTGTGGGGTGATGGGGAGATGTTGGTCAAAGTGTACAAAGTTTGTGATAGAAGGAACAAGTTCTTGAGATCTATCACACGGCATGGTGACTATAGTTAATAACAATGTAATATATATTTCAAAATTGCTAAGAGACCAGATTTTAAATGTTCACACCACAAAAGAAATAAGTATGTGAAATGATAAATATGTTAATTAGCTCGATTTAATCATTCTATAATGCATACATATACCAAAATATTACATTGTACCCTGTAAATATGTACAATTATTATTTGTCAATTAAAAATAAAATTTAAAAGATAGTGGACTGGTTAAATTATGGACATCATATGTGTCCATATGATGAAGAAAAGTATTTATTTTTTTATTATTATATTATTATTTTATCATTAAATTTTTTTCATATGAAGAAAAATATTTTCTAGAAAATTATCTTAAACTGCCAAGTTAAAAAGGAGATAACCAAATGGTATGTATCGATGTTTAAACTTTAGCTATATTGTGTATGGTATGCATGCACACTTTCAGCCCTACACCTGTACCCACACACATGCATGACGCACACACGAAGGACCAAACGACTGGAAGGAAATATAGTTAAATGTTAATTAACATTTAACTTTGAGAAATGCTGGAATTACAAGTAATTTTTCATTCTCTTCTATTTTCTAACATTTTATTATGAAATTATAAAATGATAAAAAAACAAAATAATATTTAAAAGTTTAATATTATTCTAATGACCCCATGACCTTGAGCCCCTGTGATGACGAGCCCTTCCCCAGAGGTGACAGCATTGCAGGAAGATCTGACAGGACGGAGCTATGGGCAGGGACTGGCTCGCTCATTGTCCTCCTCTGCTTACAGAATCTCGAAGGGGGGTTCAGATCCCCATACTGGCCAGCCGCAAAAAAAAAAAAAAAAACTCAAAGGGAACTCTGAGTGGGACACTTGGTCTCTTCTGTGGCACCATGAGAGTAGAGGAGAGTTGGAAGACCTGGCTCTGGCCTAGTGCTGTCATCGCCAACCTGAGAGGCCTGGGCCAGTCTCGCACCTTCTCAGGCCATTTTATTTATCTCTGAAGGGAGGAGGAAAAGCCAGAAGGCCCTAGAGACTGTGGTCGCCCTACTTCTCTGCCAGTCTCTCAGTTCCAAAGAAAAGGGATTTTTTTGCACCTAAATCAAGATACAGGAGAAATCATTAGATCCCGAGTAACCAGAGGGAAAGGGGACTCTGGTGGGATCAGCTGAGCACCTGTGAAGAGCCCATGGAGAGTGACAGGCCCTGCGCAGTTTGGGGGAGCATCTCCCTGTCTATGGCAGGTGGCTGTTCCCAATTGGACCTCACCTTCAATACCCTGCTGGGAGCTGCTACCCTTGTCCCAAGGCCCTGGGGCTGGAACCTCCACATCTTCCCCCTCTTCCATCAACTACGTCACATTTTCTGCTGAAACACACAGGCCTTGGGACATGGTGACATCAGCCATATGTTGCTCACTCTCAGTGGGAGGATCCTGATCTGCCTCTGGGGCAGCAAAGCTGGAATCTGCTGCTTCCTGTGACTCACCTGCCCCTTCTCTGAGGCACTGGGGACAGGTCAGGGATATCTCCTCACTGAATGAATTCCTGCCCTTGGGGTCCTCTCCCTCCTCACCTCACATGAGCTGCCATGTCCCTCTGTAGCCAGGGCTGGGTACCAAAGGGGAGAGTCCCTGTCAGCTGCCATGTTCACAGTGGGCCTCAGCCCTCAGGCCCGCCTGCTGACAACTGTGTTCTTCCCAGGAGCTTGAAGCCGGCTTGGCATCTGTGGACTCAACTGGAGCTGCTGAGGCCAGGTAAGCTGGGGTCAGAAAGAGGGTCCTGCAGTTCTTACTAGGGGGCTGGCCCCAGGACTCTGCAGAGGCTCCAAGAAACCTGGAAAGACAGTGTCCACATGGTTAGTCACCCAACATTCACCTACAAATGCTTTCTAGGGGCACCAAGGGGCAGCTCACTGTGCCAGATGCTGCAGAAAAGTTCAGTAAAACCAGCACCAAGTACTAGCATGGAATATGGGAAAAACTCACAAGATTTGATATAAAATGAATGAGGGTTTGAATTCTAGCTCTTCTTTCTACGTTCCAGCTAAAATCCAGAGAAGTCACTTTAGGCTGAGTTTCTTCATATTAAAACAGGATGAAAGCATCTATCTCATAGAGTTGTTAGAGTTAAATAAAATGATGCTTCCAAAGCACCCACACATTCCTGGCACCTGGAACACACTCAGTTAAGATTAAATATTGCAATTATTACAAGGTGCAAGGCATGTTTTATTAGGTACCTCACTTAATTTTCACTCATCCTGTGGACTAGACATTATTATTATTATTACTCCCATTTACCATCAGATAGGGCTGTTCAGAGATATTAAGAAATTTTCCCAAAGATCACTCAGATTAAGGGGAAGGACAGGAATTCAAATCCAGATATTCCTGACTCCAAAGTGCATTTTCTTAACTAGAGAACCGCATGGTATTCTATTCATGGTACAGTCACAATAAACATTATTTGTTTCCTGCTGTCTTCAAAGTGCTCTGGCTGAGTGGTGTCCATATCACAAATGCATAAACTGAGCTTCTGTATAATTCAGTGCACATTCTGGACAACTTAAGAGTCCACCCTCCTTTGTCAAAGATGAAAACTCAGGGCTGGCTGGTTGGCTCAGTTGGTTAGAGCATGGTGCTGACAACACCAAGATCCAGGGCTCAGTCCCTGTACCAGCCAGCTGAAAAAACAAACAAACAAATAAACTTAAACTCATCCCTCTCCCGCATAATGCCCATCTGGGCCCTGAAAACCAGCCAGTCTGCATAGGCTCTAAATCATTAGCCCACATTGCTTGACAAAAACTGTGCCTCCAAATAGTGTCATCAACTTGTTTCCACAGGCTCCTCAAATAATCACCAACACAGGAAATACTCCCTCAACAGAAAACCAACATTGATCTGCTCTAGGGGTCAAAATACTGAACCTGTGGGGGCCAAACCTGACCTGCTCTAGGACCACATAACTTACAAACCATATATAGAATCAGTGACCACCATAAATCCCTCAGTAATAGACCTTCCAGTCCATCACAAAACAATGCAGTCTTGCAATAACAAATGTCCACAAGCCCCAATCCATGACTTCTACAGGCCCCGCAAAACTGACTCCCAAAGAATTGTAATCCCTTGAGAATCCCAGGATTGCAATGAATCATTCATCACTTTGGTGTTCCAATAAATAAACTCTCATGAACCAAATCAATGAACTCAGATACATTCCAACTCACATAAAACCTCAAGAATTTCTACAGAGGTCCCAAACACCCACATGTCTCCTATTATTTCTTCTCAAGGATTCCCCAAAATTGTCACTCACTGCCCCCATATGAATGACAGCTATTGACTCTGAATTATCTAATCCTATGGGACCCTAACTCATTGGTCCTCCCGCACAGAAATCCCTGCAATCTTTGACTGCCAGAGGAACCCAATCAACCCCAAACTTGATTTGGCATTGAGATTAAAGGATAAAAAGAAAACCTAAAGTATTTCCATGCAGAAACAAGCTATTTACAATGAAAAGGGATCACATGGCACTAGACTTATTTGCAACAATAGAAGCCATATTAGAAGAAAACATCTACAAATTGTGAGAAAAGAACAGATCCAAAAATTTTAAACCTACCCTAGCTAGATACGATTCTTCTATCAGAGCAAAAGAAAGACAACTTTAGACATAAAAGCATTTATAGCATAATATGCCAATATTCCAATCTCATTAGAATACTCAAGGGAAGGGCCGGCCCGGTGGCGCACTGCTACAGTGCGCCGCTTGGGAGCGCGTTGGCTCTCCCGCTGAGGGTTCGGATCCCACATACAGACCAGTTCCCGCTCACTGGCTGAGGGTTGCGATCCGTTGCCAGACACGAAAAAAGACAAAAAAAAAAGAATACTCAAGGGAATAGTCAATTATAAACTGAATAGTAACAGAACAATTAAAATAGGAGGAAGGCAGTTTTGAAATATGATTCCTGCAATTGATATATAATTATATCTGAATAAATAAAAATAACGTTATGGGGCATTTGGAGTAAATAAGGCTACTGCTATTACTAAGTGAAAATTTTAAAAACTTTGGGAAAATTTACTGAGTAAAATGAGGAGAAGGCAAATTATGCATCTTCATGGGCAGATATTGGTACAATATTATTTTGATCTAGTAATAGGATTTTGTATGTTTCCACCATAAAGAAATGATAAATGTTTCAGTTGATGGATATGCTAATTACCTTGATTTGATCATTATACAGTGTATCAAAATATCACATCGTACACCATAAGTATGTACAATTATGTGTTAATTAAAAATTAAAACAAAAATAAAGAACACTAGCTCAAAAAAATTAAGGACTTCTGTTCATCGGAGGACAAAACTAAGAGTGAAAAGGCAAATCCTACAGTGGGAGAAGAAAATGGCAATGCATTTATCTGACAAATGGTTAATATCTCAAATATATCAAGAATTTCTAGAAATCAATAAAAGCAATAGAAAAAGAGCAAAAGGAACAGGCATTTCACAAAGAAAATATACAAATGGCAAATGAGCATATGAAAAGATGCTCAACTCCATTAGCAAGGAAATAGAAATTAAACTACAATAAGATAATCCTTCATCATACCCACCAGCAATGGCTAAAATGAAAAAGAAGGGAAATAACCAAAAGTTGGCAAGGATATGGAGCAAGTGAAACTCATAAATTGCTTGCTAGGAGCATAAAATAGTACAAAAACTGTGTGGTAGTGTCTACTAGTGCTGAGCACATGCATATCCTATGACCCAGCTATTCCAATCCTAGGGATGTACCCAAGAGAAATGTGAATATATGTTTACCAAAACACAAGTACAATAACGTTCATAGTAGCTTTATTCAAAACTGGAAATTATACAAATAGCCAACATTAGAATGGATAAACAAGTTGTGCTATATTTGTACAAGGAAATACTCAACAGCAACAAGAAAGAACAAATTGCTAAACACAAAATGTGTGAATCTCATCTCATGAACATTATGTTGAGCCAAAGAAGCCAGGCCCAGAAGAACAATGAAGCAATGCTGTTTGATTACATTTATATAAATTTCAAAAACATGCAAAATGATTCTATTCTGGGGCTAGCCAGTTACAACGCTCAGCTGGTTAGAGCATGTCCTTATAACACCAAGGTCAAGGGTTCGGATCCCCATATAGGCCAGCTGCCAAATAAATAAATAAAACTAATCTATGCTGGCAGAAGTCAGGCTATTGGTACCCCTTGGGAGGAGGTTAGTGACTGGAGAGGAATACAAGGGGGGGCTTCTTGAGAGCTCGTAACGGGCATTTCTACATCTGGGTGGTGGCTATGCAGGTTTGTCCAGTCTGTTAAAAAATCACCAAGCTAGGGCCGGCCCGGTGGCGCACTGCTACAGTCCGCCGCTTGGGAGTGCTGCGGCGCTCCCGCCGAGGGTTCGGATCCCACATACAGACCGGTTCCCGCTCACTGGCTGAGCGAGGTGCGGGCGCGA